GGGGGGAAGCTACCTATATGTTACCAACAGAAAATCTACAACCATAAAGATTCCATTTCTGTATTTGCATGCATGACAGCTTAAGCCAAAACCATACTCATAGAATATAGTAATACAAACGTGGGTCCAATAAGATGGTTTTCCATTTTTTTTTTTTTAATGCAAGATACACTGCCTCTCAGCTACATCACAGATTGAACCAGCCCACCAGGCATAAGCAAGTGGTAGTGTGTGAATTTCATGCTCTGTAAAATCAACACGCACATATATTTTTTGGAAAGGCCCCTGAGTGGGGCTGCCGGGGTGACCTAACACCCACGCCTCCAGCACGAGCAGAGAGAGCACCGAGCACTCTGGCGACTGGCCCCACCTGGGGCAGAGGCTGGAAGAGCTGCCCGCATGCCCTTACCTTCCGAGTAGCCGCAAGCCTGGGTCAGAGCCCGGCATTGTGCCAGCAGGGATGCGTGGGACACCGTGACCCCCACTGTGCTGCCTTCTTTGCTTGTTTTATACTGAAAGATTTCAAGAAAAAAAATCCATTATGTGACGCTTCTGGAGGCCACAGCAGACAGAATGGGAGGCTGACAGAACTTAAAAAGGAGAAGTGGTCAGTCGTCTGTCCCTCACTAACCATCCTGTCACACCAGAGCACACTTTATGCCATGACTCTCAGGGTGACACCCACAGAGGAAACTAGGACACACCGTGGGGCAAGTGTCCCAGCACACTGGTACACACAGGCTCCCCCTCACTGCTGACATCCCGAGGGAGCTGGGGAGGGATGATCAAGCAGGAGTGAAACCAGACCTGACTGAGCTCCCGTCCTACCCTTTCTGCCTCTGAGGTGATGGTAAGACAGAGGGTAAGTGTAAGCCTGTGACCACGCACACTGTCACGGGAAACGAGCTGGGCTCGTGGGGTCCGCAGGCTCCGAGCGGGACGAGGTCATTACCTCGATGTAGGCAGTCCCGGCCCCTGCATCCCAGGCCGGTGGATGCCAGTCTTTCGGGGGCTTGGTCAGATGCTTCCCATCGATCACCAACCAGGCGAGAGGGGGCCAACCTGTGAAGGCACGGACAAGGCACGGGCCCAGGCAAGTGGTGAGTGGGTCTCAGGGCTGAGCCGCCCGCCACTGGCAACTAGCCACCGAGCACCCAGGGAGCAGAAGTCTTGGTCCCGTTTACTCTACATTAGTTCATATTTAAGTCAGTGGGTGCCTCCGACCTGTGGCCACCACACCAAACGGCGCAGGCCTAGACCCTGAACTGGGGCAAGGGGTAGGTGGCGAGATACACAGGCTTGTGACCGGGACCTCACTCCTGAAGACCCCTCAGCCCACATAAGGTTCGGCTGCCATGAAAGGGTACCCGCACACCGCAGGTGGACTCCCACGCCTGCAGGGGCCTACCTTTGAAAGCTGCCACCTCTCCGGTCTGCGCCTTGGGCAGGCCTTTCTGACAAGCATCCGTGGTCAGGGCCAGGGCAACGCCACAGCTTCCCAGCAGAAACCCAACCTGCTGGCTGCCGGCGTCCTGCACAAAACATGGCGAGGCGCTCACGGGGCCGCCACCAAGGGCCCTGCCCGCTCAGGCCCACACACAGAAAGCAGAGTGCTTCACCTTGCCCTTGCAAAGTCCTACAACCCAATCCTATGTAGTGGAGACTATATTTTCATGAAAGTAAAATATAAGCATTTTTAAATTTAAAAGACATATTTTTGCAATGAAATACAAAGTTCTAGATAATAGGCTAATTTCTCAAAGTGTTTTCCTGCAAACGACATTTTGGAGCATTTTAATAAACTCCAAAAATAACAGCATGGAAATTTCCACTTGAATTGTGTTTAAAATTTACATATTAACCTGGGGAGTCCCGACCTTTGACACTTTTACTTATTCCCCACAGAAATGCACATTCCCTGTCAACGCTTCTTCTATATGTGTCCCTCAGTAAAGGTTTGTCATTTTCTTCTTGCAGGTTTGACAAACCTCTTGCTTCTTCCGAAGTCTCTGTAGTCAAATATCTGTTCATCATATATTATCCTTTGAGATATACTGGTTTTATTTAAAACTTTACTTTTGGGATTCTTGAGTATTTGTTGCTGACAATGCTCACTTTAAGTACCTGAACTCTGAAGTGGTAGAGAGCTTTAATCTTCTAAAATACATGCTTTGTCTACTCCTAAAATGCTATTCGTTTTCCATAACCAGATTACTGACACTTACACTTAAGATGGACTGGCTACCCAGAACATCAGCAAGCTCCCCACATTAATCATTTGTTGGTAACAAAAAACGCATGCTGTTATGTAAGTGGACAGAAATGCAAGAAAATTTCCATCTTGCATATTCGATATTATCACTGAGAAGTGAGCTACAATACATTAATTACTGTGTGATTTATTTATTCCCAAGAAATGAAAATTATTATCAATAAGCATATGGTTTTGGGAGAAAGTTTAACAAAATCTTATCAAATCATAAATTCTATTCATCAGAGAAAAAATGCTCACTGTCTGTACTGGAAAGTTCACAGAGATGATATATTAGCTCCATCTACAGCTTCTAAAAGTCCGTTTCACCAGCAAGATACATACAAATGAGTAACTGTAGGTGAAACTGCATCTAATGTCTCCCGAAGTCCTGCCGTGCAGGACCCTCCCGTGGGTCAAAGCAGCACCTGTCTGCCAGAGCACGTCCTTTCCCGGGAGGGCAAGATAGGACGTGTCGCCTCTATGTGTCAGCTTTGGAAGAAAACCCCGCGGCCCAGACAGAGTGAACTACCTTTCTTGTTAGCGGCACTTCTATGGGGACAGGAACCAGCTCTGCCAGGAGACAGCCATAAAACCCCACCATGAACATCACAGGGTCACTGTTCGGAAACACCAGGGCCACCTACAACAGCGCGAAGGAAAACCATGAAACCCACTCACGAAGCATGCGATCATTCTCAACACTCAGGATCTCTGCTGACTAGATGGAATCTGGGACAGTTTAGATGATCTTACAGCTTTTCAAATTGGGTTCAGAAAATGTAATTTGGAGGTTAATTCTTGGTCCTTAAACTCCCTCAACCATATAACTTTTCATAGTTTTTAGGCTGGGATCTTTATTCCACATGCAACAAAATAATTTAAAATGTTTGTGTCCAGAGGCAGTCCAGCCCCAGTCTGGCTGTGGGATGGGGACCTGGCTCTGTGCACTCTATCTGGGCAGCAGCTGAGGACCCCTGGTGAGGTACCGCCCCCCCCCACATCCACCAGTCCAGGCGAGAAGTGCCGGAACCAACAGGAAGAGTGGACTCGGAATCAAATGACACCTAAAGTATCTTCCAGAAGGTAAGGTCCTAACGCCAAAGTTTTAGCTGAACAGATCTTCACTCAAGGCTTCAGTGTACTGACAGGGGAGGGGGGAGAGCACTGAACACCTCAGCTAAGACCCCTACAGCTGCTGCCTCCTGCGGACTCCCTGGGGGGCCCACCTATCACCATGCTGCCACTGTTTAAGCCGTATCTTCTATTTATCTTACATTTTTATTTTTATCAAAAACATTTTAAAAACACACAATTTAAGATGACAAAAAGTACTAATGAAAAGTAATACCCATATGCTCCGCCCTTCCTCACTCCCCAAGGCAACCACTTAAAAAATATCCTAGGGGTGCCTCGGTGGCTAAGTCGGTGAAGCATCAGCTCTGATTTCATCTGACTCTGATTTCGGCTCAGGTCACGATCTCATGGTCGTGAGGCTGGGCTCTGCGTTGACAGCATGGAGACTGCTTGGGATGCTCTCTCTGCCCCTCCCCAGCTGGCGCACCAGCATGCACACTCGCTCTCTCTCAAAACAAACAAACATTTTTTAAACATCTTACATCTTCCTCTTGCTATTTATTCATATTTTTAAATATTAGGATGCTTATACTACTATGTTCTATTTTTTGAACATGTCTCAGTATCGATTTTACTTCCTATCACTGTAGATGAACACTCAGCCCTCTGTGTTCCTGCCTCTTTCTCTTCCCCCATCCTCCAGCTTCCATTTCTTAGAACATCTGATAAACTTAAAAGCTATTTATGGAACAAGATTTTTATAAGCCCCAAATCTTGTAGTGAGTTTGCTTGAAACCATAAATGGTAAGTCAGAAGAGTGGACAGACTGCTGATGTGGGCCCTTGGACACAAAACAATGGCTGCTAACAACTCTCCACTTCATTAAGACAAAACTCAAGCTACACCTATAGTCTCTGCTTGAGGTCTGGAAATCGAGTTTCTAGCAAGTTAATTTGTTGAAAAGGGCAAAGCTCTCCTTCAAAAGTTGATGTAACAGTGGTTGCACCAGAACTATGACCTGTAGCTTTGAGACTAAATGTTTGGTATAAAAACATTTTTAGAGAATTTGTTATAAAGAGTCGTGTTTGTTCACTTTTACAAACTCTATTCCTCAAGGGAAGAGAAATTTGCCACCCACATCTCATAATTAGCTCATTCACTGTGATCCCGTCAATCTTTCATAATTAACCTAACTACGTGGACTCTCTCACAAGTCAAGAAGAATATCTGGAAGTCTCTGTCCCTGCAGGAATCTTTTTCAAGAAAAATAAATTAGTGATTCTGGATTCATTTTATTGAAAATTTTTTTAATGTTTATTTATTTTTGAGACAGAGAGAGACAGAGCATGAACGGGGGAGGGGCAGAGAGAGAGGGAGACAGAATCGGAAGCAGGCTCCAGGCTCTGAGCCATCAGCACAGAGCCCGACGCGGGGCTCGAACTCACGGACCGCGAGATCGTGACCCGGGCTGAAGTCAGACGCTTAACCGACTGAGCCACCCAGGCGCCCCGATCTGGATTCATTTTAAAGCACACCATAAATCAGGAATTCTTACATGCTTGTTCTAAAGCACAAGCATTGTTCTCATACTATTCACATGTTTACAGCCTCGTTCACATCTGCTGATGGTGACAGCTACCACCACCTTTAGTTGCTTTGCTTTCCAGTTTCCACTGGCCAACTTGTTCTAAAATGCTCCACCACGTGTGTTAAATACCTATCGAAAGTATTTTCCAAGTAGCCAAGCAGTCGGGTGAGCTCCTAAGTCTTACCAGATGCTCAGGAGCAAGCCCCAATCCTGGGACCTCCGTCCTCCTGGGCTGCCCTGCTCTGCGGCTCACTCCTGTTCCCCTTGGAAGCTCAGAGGCTCCTTTCTGTACCTGGTCCTGCTGCGGAAGCAGTAAGGAGTGGTGCTGAGCTTTGCTGCAGGCCCTTCACTTTGAAGCTAACACCCTCCAGCTCCAGGATGTTGACTGGCGTTACTACAACCATTTACAACTCTCTACTCTCTGTCCTCCTTCCTGTCTGGAACTCCTACTGGCCAGATGCTGGACCTCCTTGACCAAGTCTCACGTTTGCACTATTTGTCCTTCCCACTTTCCATCTCTTAGTCTTCCCTACTAGCATCTTTTTCTTGATTTATGGAGCAATATGTTCATCTTAGTTCTCCAGGGACAGTAATACTAATTTCGTAAAAATTCCTTTTCTGTTTCTGGCTTTCTGCCAAGTTTCTTTCCTCTTCCTCTCTCTTCCTCCCCTGCCTGGCCACCATCCCCTTTTCTTGTTTTTCTCTTCTTTGCCCTTTGGTTGTTCTCTTTCATTCAGGTTTCCTTCTTCAAATGTCCTTGGCGACTGGTTCTATTTAAAGAGTGGGCACTCAGAGTTGCATGAAACTTACAGTTTCACTACTGGGTGATCTGACCACAGGCAGCCTCTCTCACTAGATTTTCTCACTACTGGGTGTCCTGTCCTCCATCCTGGATGTTCTGGTCTACCTGCACTTCTCACGTCTGGTTCAGTTTGCCTGGAGCAGTGCTGACCAACAGAACTTCCTATGATAATGCAAATGTTCTATCTTCAAGCTATCAAATGTGGTAGCTATTAGCCACATGTGGCTTATGTATGAGCCCTCGAAACATGGCTTGTGTGACTGAGGAACTAAATTTTTTATTTTATTTACTTCTGGTCAATTGAAGTAGCCCCGTGTATCTACTGCCAAAAATGTCGGGCAGTGCAGTAAGTACACGGAACACCACGTCTCTAGCCTCCTCCGTAACCACCTTTGCAGTGAGGCAAGAGGGGGCTGCCGGGTCATATGGAAGAGAGGAAGAGGTAAATAGGGAACACACAGAATTCCAAAGTTACATCAATGTTCTCTCATAAAACCTAAGCTTTGGGGACCTGATATTTATTAACATTAATATTTTTATTAAAATCAATATATATGAAGTCAAAGAGGAAAGAACTTGAAGAGTCAGCGGTTGGGCAATGAGGAAGAATAAAAAGAACCATCACCTTATGTACATCATCATAAACTTTTTCCATATTTAATATTTTTTCTTTGTTGACTTTAAATCCCTTGCGTTAATGCTAGAAGTCTAGCCAAGTGATGGAATACTGATTTCAATGAGACATATTTTTAGAGTTTCTGTTTTTGCTCACTCCAATAAGTTATATTCTAGTTACTTACTCTGTCTCCAGGTTTAAGTAGTGGTTCATTCTTACTAGTCAGTTTATTAAGTAGAGTATAAGCTAGTTTTAAACTCCGACTCCAAAGTTTGCCTAAAATAAAATAAAAATACTAAGCAATGTAAAATTCAAGAAACTAATTATTAACATTTTAATGTAGCAATCACAATACCCCATAATGTACCATCATTCTATTGTTGGGAATTCAGGTAGTTTCCAACTGATAACTATTTTGCACAATGCTGTAATGAACATCGTAGTTTTCTCTTCAACACAACTTATAGATTTATTTTTCTTAATACAAAAATAGAACAGGATTTTATTATAGAAAATTTAGAACATAGAAAAGCTAGCAGAAAAAAGTCAGCGTTATTTCGGTTACATGTACACACACACACACACACACACACACACACACATATACACATGTGCAATTTTCAAGAAATGGGACAATACTTCATTCTGCTTTTCTGAATCCACATTGCACTGTGAGTGCATTTTCATGTCATTAAATGTCTCTCAACCACATCCCTTATCAGAGTGGCATATAGTTCTTTTAACCTTTATGATTCATGAGGTGGGTCCTACCTCCATCTCTAGGTTCCACTCAAGAGAAGACAGTCTGGGAGGTGTCAGTAACCTGCTCAGAGCCACTGGCTGCTGGAGTGGTGTGTCTGGCCCTCCAGGACCCAGCCCCTAGACCCAGGACCCCTCCCCGCTGGCACACAGTCTCAGTACAGAGCCCTAGTGGATGCTCAGCAGAGGACAGCTTCCCCGAGGAAGATGGGAGATGAAACAAAGAGTCAAGGTCTCTGGGGAGGTAGACCAAGGCCGGGGTGACATGGGGTAGGAAGACAAAAAAAACCCGAGTCCATCCCCACACCCACAGCAGCCTTGACATTTACCCCATGCGATAATGTACCAAAGAGGTAACACAAGAGTCACAATTTACCTCCCTCAAATTCCTGTGGAGCAGCCAAGCCCTCTGAATAAGTGGTAAAATTTCATTGCAAATAATACTAAACCTAGGCTCAACATTGTGAAGTGAGCAAACTGTGGGACCCAAGAAACAAATGAGAAAAAAAATATTCAATTCAAAGCACTGTTGCCTTTGTCTATATAGAAAGGTCAATTCAAGATGTTGATAACTGTAATACATACAGATTTCCAAACTGAATCCAGCTATATAGAAAAAGAATAATGCATCATGACCAGGTCAGTTTATCTCAAGAATGCAAAAAGTTTCAACAGAAAATCAACATAATTTGTCACATTAACAAAGGTGAAAAAAAGTAAAACAATTTAACAATCACTCAGGATTTTAAATGATTTTTAAAATCCTTCTTAAATCCAAAATGGAAGGAAATTTCCCTAAAGTGATAAAGCCTATCTTTACAAATCCTATAGGAAATATCATAATCGATGGTCAGGTATTGAAAGCTCTCCCTGAAGAAGTAGAAATAAGTCAAGGACAAAGGCCTTTTTACTGAAAGTCTTAGCCAATGCAACAAGGTGGAGGGGTGGAGAGAAGGTAAACAGTTGGAAACAAAACTCATTATTTGCAGATGATGTGACTGAGCACATTATGAATCTTTTATAACTGAAGTTAGCAAGGCTGCCAGACACCACAACAGTGTAGAAAGACTATCTCATTTCTGTATACTGGCAATAAATATTAAGTAAAAATTTTTAATGATTGTAATTGCAATACGATTAAAACAAACATGCCACATATCTAAGAATATGTGTTAAAAAAGATATGCAGTCTCACCACAAGAAATTATATAACATTACTGAGATAAAGTGAAGATCTGAATGAATGGAAGGATATGTTATGTCTGTGCGCTGGAAGACTCAATAATGCGAAGGTGTCAATTTACAAACTGTTCAAAGCAATTATAACCAAAATCTCAACAGGTGTGCCTGTGGCACCTGACAAACTGATCCCAAAGCTGGCACGACACACGGATGAGAACAGCTGACACACTCCTGCAGAAGGAAGCGAGATTCCTCCACGGATGTCAAGACTTACTACAGAGCCACAGTAATTAAGGAAGTGTGGTCCTGGCCTAAGGCTATATATAACCCAGTGGGCTGAAACAAAGAACCCCAACTGACCCACCACATGTGGACCGGTCCACCTAGGACACAGGTGCGCTAGAGAAGAGTGGCAGCCTGTGGGGACGAGCACAGACGGCTGGCTATCCGTCCTGAAAACCTGACCCGAGACCCAGCCCCACACCACACACAAAACAGCAGAGCTCTCACAAGATACTAGAATAGCTTTATGATCCTGGCGGAGCGAGAGTCCTTGAGAACACAAAGCACTAGGCAGGAATGGAAGGGCCTTCTGCTCACCAAACTCCCATTCGGGAGTAACAGCCAAAGGACAAAGTGGGAGACACTTGTAGCACACGTCACTGACAAGGACGGGTATCCAGAGCACATACAAAATTCCCACAAATAACCCTATATTTAAAAATGTGTAGGGGCACCTGTGTGGCTCATTCGGTGAACCGTCCGACTCTTGATTTTGGCTCAGGTCATGATCAGGTCATGACGTCATGGTTTGTGAGCGCGAGCCCCACATACAGCTTTGTGCTGACAGTGCTCTCTCTCCCTCTCTCCTTGCCCCTGTCCTGCTCATGCTCTCTTTCTCAAGATAAAGACAACATTTTTTTTAATGTGTAAAAGATTCAATAGTACTTAACAAAAGAGAAAATCCAAACGATTAAAAAAAAAAAATCCAGGAAAAGATCTGAACCTACTCAGTCTTCAGGAAAATGCAAATTAACACCAAAATGAAATATTACTATCATATTCTCATCAGGTTAGCTATAATAAGCCTGGATGACAATGATGGGGAACAGGTGGGGCTAATACACTGATCAGGTAAACATAAACTGGGAAAGTCTGGCATTATCTGATAAATGTAAAGATACGCATAATCTCAGACCCAACACTTCCACTCTGAAGTACATACCCTACAAAAATGCATGCTTATGTACCAGGTGGCACACCCCAGAATGTTCCTAGCAGCACAGTTTGTGATAGCCAAATCTGGATATCACCCAAATGTCTAGCAACATTATAACCGACCGATATGCAGATTCTGATATATATTCATTCCTTGACAGAGATCAATGTGCTGCAACTATACACAATAATATGGATGAATCTTCAGAGCATAATGGAAAAAGATTCTGCTTCCAAGTAGGAGAGAGTACTGGTGGCAGACCAAGGCTCCCACCTGAAAGAATTTAAAAACTGGATAAAATGCAGAAACCATCTGTTGGAGGCAGCAAAGTCAACTAAAGGAGTTAAGACTCCAGAGAGAAAACCCTTGGGGAGGCGAGCTGACTGTGCACAGCTGTTTCTTATAAAAGCTGGGTGTTTAGGGTTCCGGCACCCACAGGAGATGGAGTATCTCATGCCTCATGCCTGTGGATCACTGCCTCTGAGGCACGAAGAAAACAGCAGAGCTGCTGGCAGAGGCTGGGGGCCGTGAGAGCACAGCCGACCTCCCCCTAGAAGATCTACTGAGTCCTAGGACTGTGAACGACAGGAGGCTGCAAATCCATGCTGAGAACCTCTGAGAAGCAATGTGGGATTGTTAGTAGTACACGAGATAGAAGCCAGGGTTGGGGGACCCAGAGGAAAAGAACACAGGTGCTCAGACTTGACTGCAGTAACCAGCCACCACGGTACCTGCCAAGAGTAGAGAGGAAGGAACTTCTCTCAAGGAAGGCCACATCACCTGGAGCCTCACCAATTTTTTACACACAGTGTCTATCATTCAATCAAAAAGGTACTATGCATCCCAAAAGACAAGTTCCCCAGACTAAAACCAAGAGAAAGTACAGACAAGAGCAGCAGGCCTGGAGGTGACAGGACCCTGGAGCTTGCTGACAGAGTCATGGTAAGGAATGTATGGATTCTAGGAAATAAAGGAAAAGATAAAGACAATGCATGGAACGATAAAGAATTTTCCTAGAAAATTATAATAGGAATTAGAACACAGAAGTGAAAATTTTAAACTAAAAAGACAATATCTAAATTAAGAACTCATCAGGAATTTCACGATACAATAGAAATTTCAGAAACCAGAATTAAAGATTTTGAATTAAGGAAAATAAGTCTCCAAACTGAAGTACAGATGACCCTTGAACAACACAGGTCAACTTACACGTGGGTTTTTTTGATAGAGTACAATACTGTGAATGTATTTTTTTCCCTTATGATTTTCCTTTTTTTTTTTTTTTTTTTTTTTTTTAATTTTTTTAAATGTCTATTTATGTTGACAGGGAGACAGAGACAGAGACAGTGCTATCAGGGGAGAGGCAGAGAGAGAAGGAAAGAGAGAAAGAATCCCAAGCAGGCTCCACACTGCCAGCGTAGAGCCCGATGTGGGGCTCAAACTCACATACTAAGAGATCATGACCTGAGCCCAAATCAAGAGTCGGATACTTAACCAACTGAGGCACCCAGGTGCCCCATGTTCCTTATGATTTTCTTAATAACATTTTCTTTTCTCTAACTTCCTTTATTGTAAGAATACAGTACATGAAACATATAAAAAATATGTGTTAATCGACTACCAATGTTATCGGTAAACCTTCTGGTCAACAGTAGACTAATAGTTAAGTAGTTAAGTTTTCAGAGAGTCAAAACTTATACTTGGGTTTTCAATTGTGCAGGAGCTCAGTGCCCTTAACCCCTGCATTGTTCAAGAGTCAACTAAATATATAGAAAAGAATACAAAATATGAAAAAGAAAATGAAGGCCACACAGGATTCAAAAAAGGTATACGTGTAATCAAAGTCCGAGAAGGAGAGGAGAGAGAGACCGGAAAAATGAATTCAACAGGAGGAGGTGGTCAACAGCCACACCCCTCACAGCAGGCAATGAGCTCCTTCCTTAAAGAATTATAAACCAATCTCTAATGAACACAGATGCAAAGATCCTAAACAACATATTGGTTAAATCAAATCCAGACATTTGTTAAGAAGATATCATAGCCAAGTGGGATTTATTCTAGGAATGCAAGGGCTGCTTAACATTTGAAAATTAATGTAATTAATGTAACTCATCAAATTAAGTGGAGAGGAGAGAGAAACCATATGATCATCTTGACAGAGCAGAAAAAGTGTTTGATAAAGTTCAATGCCATCCATTATAAAAAAAAAAAAACAAAACCTTTTACTAAACTAGGAATTGAAGGGAACTTACTTAATCTGACAAAGAATTTCGACCACAAAACAAGTAAAAAAAACTACAGCAAACATCATACTTCATGACCCAAAGCTTTCCACCGAAGATGGAGAAGGAGGCAAGAATGCCCACTATCCAACATCATACTGGCAGTTCTGGCTTGTGCAGTGAGGAGAGAAAGAGATAAAAGGTGTAAGTACTGGAAAGGTCCAAATAACACTGTCTTTGGCCATAGATGACATGATTTTGAACACAGGATATCCAAAAGATATATGGACAAATTACTAACAAACAAAAAAGAATGTTAATTTACAAGATCACTAGATACAAAATCACCACCTGAGGAAATCCATTGCACTTCTATATACAAGCAACAGTTTCTAACCATTCCATTCCATTCCACCAGGAATAAATCTAATGAAAGATGCTCAAGAGCGCTGGACTCGAAAGTATAAAACATTACTGAGAGAAATTAAAGAAGGCCTTGAAATAGGGGAGATACTCCACAGTCATGAACTGGAAGGTTCCGCAATTGTAATAACATCAGTTCTCTTCAACTTGAACTACAGAATCGATGCAGTGCCAATCAATATCCCAGCAGGAATTTTTCTGGAAATTGACAAACTGATTCTAAAGATGGCTTAGAAATACAACGGGCCGAGAATAGTCAGGAAAACCTTAAGAAACAATCACAGAGCCAAAGGACGTCGATACCAGACACGAGGACTCACACAGCTACAGCCGTTCAGGGAGCGGGAACAGAAAACAGCCCGTGCAAACGGCATGGAGAGCAGCAGCACGCCCACACATGTGTTTCCACCCGATACACGACAAGGCAGCCCTGCGGGGCCCTGGGCGAAGCACTGCCTCTTCAGTGAATAGCAGTAGGTCAACCAGACCTTCATCGGGGAAGAAAACGACTCCAATGTCACACCACACACCAACTAAATTGTACGTGAATCGTGACACCCAATTACAAAGAGTAAAACAAGTTTTTAGAAGAAAAGGTAGGAGAATATCTTTGTGACCTTAGGTGTGGCAAACAGGACAAGGGGAAAAAAATAGATAAATTAGATTAATTACATTAGGACTTCTCACTTATCTAAAGCCACCAATAAAAGTGTTAGAAGACAGTCCAAAGAGTGGAAGAAGACATCTGCAAAACAAATCTGACAAAAGACATGTATTTGAAACATACAAAGAAGAAAACGTTAGCAACCAAATAGAAAAATGAGCCAAAGATTTGGATAGTACATAAAAGAGAATATTCACATAGCCAATAAACATACAAAAAGCATCATTAGCCATCAGAGAAATGCAAATAAGTTAGCAATACAACTTGACAGGACAACACACCTCCAGGCAAGGCTAAAATGAAATACATAGACAATATCAAGTTGACAAGGATGGGGAGCAACTGAAAGTCCGCACAAACTGCCGGCTGGAGTGAAGGTCACTGCGGCCACGTTGGAAACCAGGTGACCGTGTGTCCTAAAGCTGCACAAGGCTCCTCGTATGTGTACACATTCCCAGCACAAATGCCTGCACATGTTTCACCAACCAGACGCACCTAAGAATGTTCATAACAGCACTATACACAATAGCCCCAGTGGAAACAGTGCGGGTGTCCCTCAACCGTGGAGTACGGGCATAGTGGTGGCATGTTCATACACTAAAATAACATCCATCAATGAGAAGAGCTACAGCTTCACACCACATCAGGGCTGAGTCTCGCATAATTCCACTGACATAAAACTGAGACACAAGCGAGGCAACGGTCACAGGCATGTGACAGTTCCCGCCAGTGTGAGGATGCATGTGCTGGAAGGGACACGGGGGCTGGGGACCTGGAAATGCTCAGGAGCTGAGTGCTGGTTACAGGAGCATATCACTCCGTGAAAATGCATCAAGCCAGATGCTTATGATTTGTGTTACATAAAAACATAATACAGAACCAAAAGATGCCAAACACAAAAATACATACTGTATGATTCCATTTATACAAAGTTCAAAATTAGACAAAACTAAATTCCATTGTTCAGAGATGCATATATAGATGTGAACCTCAACACCAGAGCAGTGGCTGGTCACCATCGGTCAGTGAGTAGTCCCCTCTGCTGGGAGGAAGGGGCAGTGGTCCAGGAGGGGCACCTGGAGTGACAGTTTTGACAGTGGTGTTGGTTTCTCAGGAATTGCTCTATCGTGTTCATGAAGCTGTATGTCTGTGCTGTATGACATGACACATGTAACATTTTTACAGCTAAGCCAGAGCCCAACTGCTTTCTGTTGACACTTGCCATAGGTAAGGGTGTAGATGGCCTTCCCAGCTGTGTCCAAGGCAGTCAGACAGGGGGCTTTGGGCTGTGTCGTGCCCCAGCGCTGCAAGGCAGCCAGCAGGGACGGTGGCCAGGTGGTCCCCACGGCCAGGGGCTCCCCTTTCAGCACTGCCGTCTGGCTTCCCTCAGGCTTTGGCTGATTTGGATCTGGTTGCTGCACTGTAAGCAAAATCGAAATTTAATAATTAGCACTTCATAGAACCATCCACACATTCTGTTTTTAAGCATTCTCTCAAAAAAAAAAAAAAAAAAAAAAAAAAAAAAAAAAAAAAAAAAAACAAAAAAACACCAGTTGTAACAAGATTTCAATAATTTGTCCAGATTTCCTTATCATTATAATAGTCACGGGCCAACCGACCAAAGGACAGATGGAGATTCGTCCTGGACAATGATGGCCACTGGTGACTGTAACCCCCCAGGACAATCCCAGAATAGCAAGAGTGACATTGAGGCTTTCACGGGGTTGTGGCCAACCCTGATGACATCTGAGAAGCAGGCGCAGGTCCCACTTACAAAGGACAAAAGTGAGCAGAGTCGCGTTTCAGTCTGCGCATGCAAACCACCCATCACCAGGTTGAAAGAGAAAATAAAGTAAAATCTCTTATGTTTCCAGTGGCTGTGTAGCCAACATTTGTCCACATGTAAGAAAGACTGCTCGGAACTGCATTTATACCACTGCACTCTGCATCTGTGTTATCTGATGACAAAGGGGAAAGCGATGCCCTAAAAGTTGTGTCTGACCCTCAGTGAGGAGACACCTGGTGGCGGCTGGCAGGGCAGACATTGCACAGCAGAGGCGAGGGGCAGAGGGGCGAGCTGGCCGTGCGCCCCGTGGCTCTTGACACATGAGCACACTTGCACCTTATACTAGGCTTTATTTCTGTCCCTTTTCTATAGGTTTATACTCCTTCCTATTTCTTGGTCATTTTCTTTTACAAATAAATCTATATTCTTTTTTCCTAAATGTATATCTCATTCATAAATGAGAGACTAAATTTCTGAAAACGGGCCAAAACTATGCCAAAAATACACTTTTAAATCATGGGAAGACAAGTATTTCAGAATTAAAGTTTAAACAAAAAATGAAATAATGGGGGCACCCAGCTGGGTCAGTCAGTAGAGCGTGAAACTCTCAATCTCAGGGTTGAGTTCAAGCCCCATGTTGGGCATGGAGTCTACTTAAAAAAAAAAAAAAAAAAAAAAAAAAAAAAAAAAATTGAAATAACGTAAATAAAATGAAACCTTAGGAGTATTCTTGTAACCAAGTACTAAGCACTGGATCAGAGGCACAGAAAAATCTTAAGTTCCTTAACTATAAGCAATGTGTTTTTTCCCTGTTCAAATAAAGCCAGCAGTCACATGTGCTGCTGAATTCACCATGACACACGCTGACCACAGGGGCTGGAAACAGAGGGAGGGTCATTTCGTTGTGTTGTAATGTCACAGTGTGACCTTGCATAACACACATTTGCCCACAACCCTGGACATGACAGCCACCCCGTTCAGACACGAGAGTCAGCCCGAGATCTCTCACCTTCCAACAGCTCCTCAAAATCATCCACAAAGAACTCCTTCAGCGGAGGGCGCTTTGGCCTCTTCAGGGTATTGAGAAGCTGCTGGATTTTGGAGGACACTCTGCTGTTCACAGGGACACCTGCCAGGGGAGGAGGAGCAATGAGGCCAGAGGTCGCCATCCCTCCAGAGATAGGGTGTGGAGACGGGGTCTAGTGACCAACTGCATGAACACATTGGAATTCATAAATCCAACCAAGCACTGGCCCCACCACGCAGCCACTTTGCAATTCATTAATTCATTCAACAAATATTTACTCAAGGCCTTCTGGGAGCTAGAACTTTTTTTAAGCTAGTGGTTTTCAAAGTGGTCCAGGGACCCTTTCAGGGGTTCATGAGGCTACTGCCCTTCCCTCCCTCCTCACAGCACACAGCAAGTCTTCCAGAAGCCCCACATCATGTGAGCCACAGCCGACTGAATGGGGACAAGGCGCAGGGCCTAGGTGCTGCGCCCAGGGTCCATCATGCTGGCTGCGAGGGAGACTGGCTGCACTGGAGAACAGGCCCATTCTTCTCACCAAATCTCCATTTTAGAAATTCTTCCATAAATATGTGGTATTTATATGAAGATGTGATGAGTTTCCTAATGCTATTTTTGAATGGATTCATAAATATTTTTTAAATCTTTAGTTTTAATTTCTAATATGATAAATATCAGGAGATTTAAGCCACCCAAACTAAAAGTTCTTTGGTGTTCCTTAGTAATTATTAAGAAATGTTGTTCTGGGAGATGTAAAGCAGCAAAATGACAGATAAGAGTCTGTCCTCAGACAGCTCACCACCTGCTGGGTGAAAACAAGCAGAAATATATACACATGTAAGTGAACAAGAACAGTGGGCAGGTTGATAAGTGCTCTAAGGTTAACACAGCAGGTGATGGCCAAGGGCACCGGTCAACAGCACTGCCTGGGAGGACAGGTAAGCAGGGCCCCAAGCCTCAGACACACCCCGCTGTCCAAGGGCAAGTGCAGCAGCTGATGCCCTAACATCCTTCTACAGTATCCCCGTCCTCCAACCTGAAGCCAGCCAAGTTCTAGAACCAAGAACCGTACTTAGTCATTGCCTGTCTATTCTCCTTTGATCTGGAACGTTTCTTAGTCCTTTAAGACATTCACATTTTGAAAGAATCCAGTTCTTTTGTTTTACTGAGTAGAACATTCCTCATTTTGAGTTTGCTTGAGGTTTTCTCATGATTCAATCCAGGTGCTGCATTCCTGGCTGAAATACTACCCAAATATCATGTCCAGATTATCCTCACAGGGACAGATTTTCATCACCCAAAACGCTGTCTGGGTTCTACACTGATTGTCACTATTTTTTCTTCTGCAACTAATATGCAATGTGTGAGTAGGCACTTGAAGACCATACAAATATCCTAATCCTCACAGGATTTTCTCCCTGCATTTAACAGACATTGGATCATTCTTGCCAGAAGCAAGTTTTTACTGCAATGGTTGCAAAATTATTTTCCAACTTTAGCACCTCATTTAACTCTACCCATCAACACTCAGCATTCTGTCTGTTATCTATCTATCTATCTATCTATCTATCATCTATCTATCTATCTATCTGTCAGGAGTGACTCATGCACTGCTCAACTGCTCTAAAGCATATGGTTCTTAACTATTTTGATGTACAAATTGTCCCAGACTTGGCCAGTGGGATCCTATGTGAGTTGACCTGTGACATGCCCCCATCATTTTTTAGTTTTTTTAAATGTTTATTTATTTTTGAGAGAGAGACAGACAGACAGACAGAGTGTGAGCGGGGGAGGGCCAGAGAGAGGGAGACACAGAATTGGAAGTAAGCTCCAGGCTCTAAGCTGTCAGCACACAGCCTGACGTGGGGCTCTAACCATGAACCGTGAGAACATGACCTGAGCCGAAGCCGGACGCCCAACCGACTGAGCCACCCTTGCCCCCATCATTTTTTAATTTTTTTTTTCAACGTTTTTTATTTTTTTATTTTTGGGACAGAGAGAGACAGAGCATGAACGGGGGAGGGGCAGAGAGAGAGGGAGACACAGAATCGGAAACAGGCTCCAGGCTCCGAGCCATCAGCCCAGAGCCTGAAGCGGGGCTCGAACTCACGGACCGCGAGATCGTGACCTGGCTGAAGTCGACGCTTAACCGACTGCGCCACCCAGGCGCCCCATCCCCATCATTTTTTAAAGCACTGCCTTACACCCTGTCATAAGATGCCTCAGAGTCATCTTATGCTACCATGCTCCAGCCCTGAATTAGCTCTTTCTCTCCGAAGCCCTCATTCTCCTGTGTGGGAAAGATGTTGAAGATCAAGATCTGGCCGCTAGGTGTGCTCATTGCCACCACAGCGTCTGTGCCACGTTTGGAACACAGAGCTAAAAAAGTACACTATGCATTCATAGTGTGTATTCATGGACACACGCGTGTATTCATGGACACTCGATGGCAATGTGCATGTGCACACAGAAAGCATAAATAGACACATATTTAAATCTCAGGAACAATGAATCCACACCAATACTTCCAATCCCAATCCACCCCACAGGTTCTTCTTGCCTTTCCCACTCATATTTGGACTTTCTTTCTTCCACAGTAGGACTCCTGGCTCCCAATAATATCAACACTTTTGCTCAATATTATCATGTATATAAAATAATTTCTAAGTTGCATAACCTATACTGCTACAAAAACAAACAAGCAAGAGTTCAAGATTTTGAGGCACCTGGGGGCTCAGTCTGTTGTGTCCGACTCTTGATTTTGGCTCAGGTTGTGATCTCACGGTTCGTGGGTTTGAGCCCCACATCAGGCTCTGTGCTGACAATATGGAGCCTGCTTGGGATTCTCTCTTTCCCTTTCTTTCTCTGCCCTCCTGTCTCTCTCTCTACCCCCCCCCCCAAAACTAAATAAATAAACTTAAAAAATTAAAACAAAAAACAAGATTTCTTTGCTGTTCACACCTAACTTTGTCCAAGACGGTGGGCGTATGGTCCGGTACTGTGTCACAGCTTACCTATTCTGCCTCTCTCTCTGTCACCCCCTTAAATGTGGCTATGATACTTCACAGGAATATGACTGGGTTTATTTCTACTTGCTTTCAGTTTAAGGGGTTTTCCCCTCTTCCTATACCTCAAGTTTATGGTTTGAATTTTTTATTACACTAACAAACTACTAAAAGTCAAAACTATATTAAGACAAACTCAAAACAATGCCACTGAACTTTCACTCACCCACCCATCCCACCTCTGGGGGCGACCAGCTTCATTGCTTTCTGGTCTGTCCTTCCTGCGCCCCTTCTACACACATACAGGCTTTGCTGTGTTCCCTTGTTGCTCACACAAAAGGTGGCATACTAGAACCACTCTTTTACTTTTGGCTTTTCCACTTAACATCTCCTGGAAAAACGCCTCATTCCAAGTCATAAAAAGCTTTCTCATTATTTCTGACAGCTGCATAGTACCCCACGATGTGAACATCCTAGGTTTATTCAACCAATTTGTGAGGCTTGGAGAGCTACATAGTTTCCAATACTGTGCAATTATAAGTACTGCTACAAAGAATTACTTTGTGCACATGGATTTCCTTAGTTTTGGAAATGTGTGTTCAGAGTAAATTCCTACATTGGCCCTGCTGGATCCAAATATATATATTTTACCAATTTCTATTCCAAAGAGGTTTAACTATTTTGCATTCCCACCAACAGTGTATTTCTGTAATTATAAAAAAGGCTGAACATGATGTTCAAGAGCTATTTTTAGATCTTATGAATTGGCTGTGCATATTTTTTGCCCATTTTCCTATACTAGGAGTTGGCAAACTTTTCTTAAAGAGCTAGATAGGAAACACTCTGGGCAGTGGGCACAGTCTTGGTTGCCATTACCCTACTCTGCAGTTCTGGGGCAAAAGCAGCACAGATGACATGGGAATGGGTGGGCATGGCCATGTCCCAATAAAACTTTATGTGCAAAAGCAGAATGCCAGTATATGCCATAGTTTGCAGACTGGCAATTCATAGAATTTGGGGTCTTTTCCTCCTATTTTTAAGAGTCTGTTTGATATTAGAAACATCAGACCTTTACCTATCACACACACTGTAAATAGTTACTCCTAGTTTGTCAATTCTTCTTGTGACTCTCTATGGGGATATTTTCTTTTTTTTCTTTTTTTCTCTTTGTGGGGATATTTTTGTTAAGAATTTTTTTTAGTTTCAGGCCGTCTGGGTGGCTCAGTTGGTTGTGCCCAACTCTTGATTTTGGCTCAGGTCATAATCTCATGGTTTGTGGGTTTGAGCCCTGTGTCGGGCTCTGTGCTGACAGCTCAGAACCTGAAGCCTGCTTGGGATTCTCCCTCTCTGTCCCTCGCCTGCTCATACATGTGCTCTCTCACTCCAAAAAAAAAAAAAAAAAAAAAAAAAAAAAAAAAAAAAAAAAAAAAAAAAAAAAAAAAAGGCAAATCAAATCCGTAATACAGAAAAAATTATGCATGATAACCAAGTAGGGTTTATCCTGAGACTGTAACTTTGGTTTAACATTCAAAAATAAAATTAAATTTAGAAAGCCTTTACTTATAACCAGGTTAAAGAAAATTCAGCAATTTTTTTCCTTTTATTCTTCATTTCTTATGTTTAGATATCTGATTCTTTTTGAGTTTTGCCTTTTCAGTGGTGTGGGGAAAGAATCTAAGTTTAACTTTTCCCAACTAGCTTTCCAATGGCCCCAATAACATTTACTAAAAATACAATCTTTGCCACATTGAGGCGGTATAATATTATGTGAAGGCATACAGTGATGAGGTAAAGATGTATATTGTAAGTCACAGAGTAACCACTGGGGGAAAAAAAGGAGAGACAGAGGGAGAGAGAGAAAGAAAGAGAGGGAGAGAGAGAGAAAATAGAATATAAAATAGAATATAAACCAAAAGAAATCAGGAAAGGGAGTGAAATTAACAGATGTGTGAAACAGAAAATAGAGCAGGATCATAGATTTAAACCCAACCAAATAGCTCATTAAAACTGACTATAAATGGTCCAAAGACTCCAATGAAGTAAATGGCTACCTGCTAAAAGAAAGTGTAAGAATGAATAAAATATTAATTATAAGAA